AATCCAGCATGCCCACTCAGGTGGTACCAGGTCCCTGTCAAGGCTAAAGCATAACTGATGCAACAAAGGTAGAGAAATTCATCAGAAATTAAAGATAGCTGCTTCCATTTGCAGCAGGATTGCTGTTGTTTTCATGTCCAGCCTCATTGTGGCCTTTTTCCACATGAACTTCATTAGTTCCTTTTCCACTGTTTCTGTCCTCACTTTTCCTTCAGTTTCAACACCACCCTTTTATTTGAGCTAGTATTGCTGCCTTCCTCTTCATTTCCATCCTCATTGTTGTCTCTCTAATCTTTCTGCTCAGCTTCTCTAGCGTAGGATTGACTAAAAGAAAAGAAAGTTCATCAGGTTGGGTATTTTTTTCACTTTCACCCTTACTGAATCAAGTCTGAACTGTGTTGAAAGAACTTGTAGAAATGCCATCTTGCACAAGGAATTCAAGTGGAAGTGGTGATGATTCCGTTTGCTCACTAGGCCTGAGGTCAAGGGGAGATGGGGCTCTAACAAATTAGCATGTTCTGAAAAAGAATCAGGTTCTCAGATCAAAAAGAGAAATGGTGAACAAAACAATGACCATAATCTCTATAGAAGCTATAGAAGCTCTTTAAGAATGTAAAACAATGTGCTGTTTTCCTTAGTCTTTGCAAAGCCTTGTGAGATGACTTCATTGAACTAAGAAGTGTAAATGCTACTTCATATTTAAATAGATGCTGCCCTATTGCTTTGTTGTTACCATTGGTACTTCTCTATCTTCACATAAGTGCTGGTGAGCAATGGGTATATGAAATTGTATAAACCTTACTTCTTTTCTTGATTGGTTTTATTAATACCAATAAACCAACTTGACAGCCAAATAAAATACCCATCACCTTTGCTTTGCCCCTTGTTGTCTGGATTTTATAAATGAAATGGCTGTAACTATCCTAACAGCCTTGAAGCCTCATGTCAGCACTTACAATATCAGGGTGATACAGGGATAATGTTTTGGCAGAGGAACAGCTTTTCATCTGTGTTTTATTAACTGTCTGCTATTAAAAAAACATGGAAGATAATTGTTTTCTGTGTTGTTCTGTGATGGAGCACCTATAAATGACATATGTGATGATGAAGAACGCAAAATATGTACTAAGTTACACAAATAATCACACACCATTCTCTTCACCTCCACTCTCATCATCCCACCATTGCTCAGAGATTCACCACCATGTTCATGAAAATATCTGGAGTATGTAGGCCAGCAACTGTATATACACAGAGATGGGTTCTCTTTAGAACACCTGTAGAGTAAGGTCCTCAGGGATTAGCCTAATTGCATCACTGAATCTGTAATGAACCTTCAGGTTCATATTTATATCCAGATTCATTATTTCCTCCAAGACCACGATTACCCTGTGGAGGGTAATAGCATCAGTAGCCTGCCTACAATGTGTTTTATTTTGCATTTCTCTGTGATACTAGTGAAGAAATAATCAACAAATTATTCCAAAGACATTTATTTCTTTCTTGTACATGAATTAAAAATAAAATCTTACAAAAATATGGAACAATATACTGAACCATATACTGACACACACACACACACACATATATATATATATATATATATATATATATATAATCTTAATTCATACTTCAGGAGTTTTTTAATGTAAGCTAGAAAAATAGAAATTTCATTTTGGATGCATATAATATTCTTGCAATATTCCTATAAATGATATAAAATATTTTTTCCTTAAAAAGGGAAAGTGCACATTTCTTCACCAGACTAACAAAAATAATTCAGTGCAAATTTCTAAAATTCTGAACACATTTTCTTTCATTTATGATTTCTAAACAGTTAACAGTTCAGGTTTTTCATATTCTGAAACAGAGATCAGAACAGAATCAGTTGAAAAGAAAGCTGAATAAGCTATTGCCTCTGTCTTGGAATTTAGTTTTCAGCAAGGTCATAATAAACTCTTTCTGGAGCTCTTCTTTACTCAAAGTTAGGCAAAATTTGCTGGAGATGTAAAATATTCCTTTCCATTTTACCTAGAACACTTCAAATACATTCAAGCTTTATCAAGAATTTTGGTCATTTGCTCTAGACGTCTGTGAATTGGGGTCACAGATGGAATTTACAGAAGTAAACATTAATTCTGTTCAAAATCCTGTCAATCATTAACTTAAAAAAGTTCTCCAGGAAAGGGTCATATATTCATAATAGTTTGATATACAGGTATTTAAGAACATCAGACTGCATATGACACAAACCACTTCAGGATCTCATTAGCATCCACTTTCTGCATGTTTTATGTAGATTCATGCTGACATTTTGGTTGAAGCTCACTCCACAAAAAGTGTCACATTAATTAAAAAAAGGATAATTAGGTCTTTTTTTTTTTTTAAATTGAAGAACTACATAGGTTTTGGTTTAGTTCTTCACATAAAATGCTATGTGCATGTTATTTTATACATGTTTGTAAGGCTTCAATCCCTTAGAATAAAAGAAGTAAAATAAAAAATACAACTTCTTCATCTGCCCTTCTGAACACAGAACCTACCCAAAGCTTTAGCACTTAAGAGTTAGACTCCACACCAGACACACCTGAGCTAGGTGACACCTTCTGTAACACAGGTCAGCACTGGACAAAATAGGGTAAATCAAACTCAGTGAAATTATTTTTAAAAATGTAAATGTCCTAAAATAAGTCAACATTGGATTTTTTTCTATTTTGGTTGATTTTATGACTGAACATTGGACTTCTCATCCAAAAAGGCCACTTTTTTGAATTTGAATAGATTCTGAAAAAGAAAATAGAAAACTGCACAGAACATGCTATACAAACATATCTTGCTATACAGCTTCTAAAACTTCTAGTTATGGTCACTAAAAACATACATTCTATTAAAAAAAAATTAGTACCACAAAAATTTCATAGAAAATCAAGTATTTTAAGACTTGCTCAAGAATGCAGTTGGTCTGACCTTGCAAAATACTTGGGCAGGTGCTTAATTTTAAGCATATGAGCCATTGTGCCAAGAGAGATTTTATGGTGACCACTAATGCACAAATATGAGACTGGCTCTTCCACTTCAAGATAAGCATGGACCTAAGTGCTTTGCTGGATATGGATCAGGATGCTCAGCACCTAACAGAGCTTCAGGCATGGATCCAGCAAAGCACTTACCCACACGAACAACACGGCTGACTCCAGGATCGCTGCTCATGTGCTTAACATTAGGCATGCTCTCGTAAGTGCTTTCCTGGAAGGGCCCGATAGACCAATCGTGTTTAAGCTATAAAATTTGAAGCAGTGTATGTTTAACACACAGCATATTTAACAATGCTAATCTGCTGAGATTTGCTTTTTCTTGGAACGGGGGATGCCCAATGTCAAGCATTTATTTTTCAGAAAGTATGTAAAAAAAGCGTTCAAAAGAAGCTTTGTGATCATGGCAAGTTACAATAATATAAGCGAGTCTCCTTATGCCCCTTTCATTTCTTCTTTGCACGTCTTTTCTCAGGCATCTACAAAGGAAAGAGAAAACCCTAGTCAAAAACATTATTTTATTTAAATAGCCATCCATGCATTTAATTTTGCTTCAATAAACATCACGTCAGATGCAATTGAACACCTGAAAACAAGCAAACTGAACCCTTCCAGATTTTAGATCTTGAATGCAAATTCTGCCAACTATGCCACCTCTTCCACCGCAAATATTCAAATCACCAACCACTTCTACAAACAGAACTAAGTTTATTTCTTAAGACTGGAAATGATGTGCCAGTTTGACCCTTACTAAGGGTCACTTAGTCATTGCTTGTATCTCCATGTTTTCCATGCCCACTAATGTCAACCCATTTGCTATGCAGTCTAAAAGAGTGAAAATATAAGAGTTGCTTAATCCCAAATAAACAACTATAAAAGCATCACAGCTCATCAGATATTTACATGAACATGTAGAGATGTCATGTTAACCCAGAAAATGAAATAAAGTAAGACCACATTTCTATAATAGTGCTGGCATATTGCTCCATACTATACTAACCAAGGAAGAAATAGCAAAGCAGCACTTCATAATGACCTGCTGCTACTGCTGGCCAGGCAGGGTAACTATATTTAAATCCTTATTGTGGTAAGAAATATTGTTTTATGCACTTGGCACCATATGCTCTTCATAACTTCTTACAGCTACAAGCTGAGGAAGTTTCAAAGTTACTAAATGCATTTCATGCTTTCCCAAAAGGAAAAGAGTTTTTGTTTTCATGTGAAAGCTCTAATGGTTTTTGGAAATGGCTTATTTTTTTTGTCATGCACAAATTCCTGCTCAACCAAAAGCATAGTCACTAATAAAATTATTATACTGGTAAGTTACAGCATAGCTGACAGCTGAAGTCGAGATGTGGCACAAAAGCAAAATGCATCCCTGCACAGGGGAAGAACTCTAAACTTAGTCCTTGAGCACAGTAGAAGATGTAAAAGGCATGTATAGAGCAGGAAAAAATAAAACCTGGTACCTCAGATCAGAAATCAGCACAAAGGCCTCTCATCTCTATCAGATTTTTCCAGCTCTGTGATTGAGGGAAGCTGCAACATCAGCTATCCCTCTAAATACACAGGAATATTGTGTAATGACGAAAGAACACGGAAAAGCGTGGGTAGTGCATTTTGAGTAACAGTCCTACCTTGTGCAAACTTTGTAAAACTAAACCTTATCTAAGACACTCATACTTAAGATTTTGAATCCAACGCCAAACAGGATTTTTAAAAAAAACACCCCACCCATTCTTGCCTTTAAATCAATTTTTCCCTGATTATTTTCGTAAGGACCTCTTGACCTTGGAACTAAACATAAAAATACCCCTATATTGCTATGTGCTAAGAGATTTATCACGTAAAGCCAAAGAGATGCCAGAAGTCTTTAAGGATTAAAATTTATACACAGGAAAAAACCAAAATCACTTAAAAAATGTGCTGAAACCCAACCTAACTCTTGAAGCATACAGCAAACACAAGTTTGTCACAAAAAGCACTTTATTGCATTACATGTACACTGACATTCATTGCCATTTGTTTCCAGTAGATTGAAAACAACCCAAATCCCATACAGAGAGTGTCTTTGCTCCGATAAAATGCCACCACCAATGACAAGGCTTGTATCAGCGCTAATATTTGGGTCAAAATAAAAATGCAATGGTGCCATCCTACTCTGGTGTAATAGTGGGTAAAAAACTTGAGAAATTTTTAAAAAATAATGCTCCATATGAATTAAAAAAAAAAAAATCATTGAAGTAGGGCAAGTTTTCAGCCTGGAATGAAGTGTAATGGAGAAAACTCCGTGGTGGGTTTGACTGGGCTTGCTCTAGAAGGAGCAGCAGCACAGTACTGCTAAGCCTTGCTTCTCAGCTCACAGCACAGTGTTAACGCAGGTGAGACATCTTCCCAATCCAGGCTGGAATATCTGATATCACGGTGCTGCCTTGTCCCACCAAGACCCAACAGCTCTGTGCCCTGCCAGCTCACAGACCTCTCCATCACATTCCCCACATACCCAGACATGCCCTGCATACTCTATACTAACAAAAAACTCCAGGAGACATCTTTAACTTAACATAAAAATAACCACTGTATAAAATTCTTTGAAAATTCTTTGAAAAACAAGTCTTTATTTTGATGTTTTAGGTTTGGAGCTGAAGAAAGAAGAAATGGATTTCATTCCACTCTTGTCAACTTTGGCCAGAGCCTTCTGTGCTGCAGACATCTTGGTGTTTGTCTGTGAGTGAAATGATAAATACAAACAGTTAAACAGCATCTCCATAGGAGGGAAGCAGATACTACAAACTCCTAAACACAGAAGTCAAGCGATAAGTCGAATTGCTTTTTTAGAATTTTTTTTAGTAGTACAGCCATAAAGATAATGTTATGTAGGCTTTGAATTGTGGGAGGAAAACATTAAAAAACAAAATTGAGATTATTCAAACTGAAGTATACTTGTCATGATTTACTTAACCTCAAACAAAGACAGAAAACCAACTACAAGGACAAGGAGGTGAAACATCTCTCCCTTCTGCAGAATGACGTATCCCAAATCAAATGTTTTCTTTGGGATAATCCTTGAGTGTAGATTAAGAGGAATAATGCATGCAATAGAACAGATGCATTCTGTACACTCCAACTCAATCTCATGATTATGCTGTCAGCAGGCTGAATTACAGACCTGCATTACGGATGATGAATAATTCACACTGATTTACTATCAAAGACTCAATGCACAGTGAAATAAAGGGAAAAGAGATGTAAGAACTAGTAATGAAGAAGGTAACTAACGTTTGCAAAGCACTTTTGAGGCCACTGGGACAACTTCCCAGACTTCTACACCTAAAACACATTTTATGAACCACATTTTATAAAGCTGACCTCTTTTCTTTCTTGTATTTTAAAGTGTTATGTTTTAAATCTCGAGCTGCTTTCCCTATTAAGAAAACTTTGCATTGACCTTTCTTTGTGACACTCCTCAGTCTGCAGGACTTCCCATTAACAGTACTTGGGATCGGCTAGATGGTTATGGATATGATGGAGATAGGCAACAACTGTATGATTGTCTGTGTTACTCTACAAACAAAACCACTGCCAAAATATTTTAAAAGGAGTAGTATACTGTACAGAGTCCAAGGGCTATCTTTTCTTTCCCAGATTCTCTCATCAATGTGCTTCATTATTTCAGAAGTGAATCATATTTAATGTTAAAATGAATTACCTCTCCTCAGTTTACTTCTATCTTTATGCTAAGTTCAAAAGCTGTAGTATATATTGTGGGGAGGGGGGAAATATGCATATTTTGAACAATTTATCACCTTCACTTAGGGGGCAATCCTCTTACTTTCAAACTAAAATGTGCAATAAATAAAAAAAAAACCAAAAAAACTGGGGTTTTTGGGGGGGAGGAAGGAATGCATCTGTCACCAGCTGCTTCTCTTTGCAAAGGGATAACGAGTAGTCAGCAATAGACTGAAGGTCACAAGACCAGCACAGCGGGCCTTTTCAGTTCCCCACGGATTGGAGAAAGATTCATTTTCTTTTAATGTTCAGAGAAATAAGCCAGTACAAGCCTCACAGCTTTGGCAGACACAGAGAGGATCTACTTCTTTTCACATCTCTGTTGCTCTCCTAGGAATAGTACAGTGGCAGGCACCGCTGGACTCAGATTTGGATTGGCCTCCAAACATGCGTTGGAGCTGGCAATCAGTAAGTTCTGTGTTGATTTAACTTCATTAAGTTGACATAAGTAAGTGCACAAGCAATATTTCTAGGTAAAAATAAAGCCTGTCCTAGCATCCCTTGGAATTTAAGTAAATGCTGCCATCTTCGTTTCTTTTTTGAGTAACTGAAATTTACCACTTGCTATCATCAAGCCATAGGATTTCTCATCTAAAGATCTCAAAGAGCTTTGCATTAGCTGAGCACCTTAACATGTGTGTCTGAGTCTGCGAGGCTCACTGAAATGTTCACTGATGAAATACAGCCCAGCAGTAATAGTATAAAACAGTTCACAATAGGAAACTAAAACTGTCAAAGTCACATTAAGCCTGAAAGAAAAGATCAAAGAGATATAATTACAGATGACAGACAATTTTGTATTTGTTTTTTATTTGTGATGTGTTTTGAAGGAGAAAGTTAAGCACTCTGTGCTAGTATTTGCTATTAATCTACACTTCAGCAAAACATGTATGAATGCAAGGCCTGCTTACCTTTTTGGTTTTCAGATTGTCGCTGTTAAATTTAGTATAGTCTTCTCCTGGTTCCACAGGGACATCTGACAATTTCCTTTTCTGAAATGTTAGAGTGAGGAAGTTGCTCTGTCAACCACTTTTATGATGTACACACATGGAAGTTCAAAGCTTTGGCTTTAAAATGTAACTATAGCACCAAAATAGGACTGGCAATCAGCTGAAGAATCCGCAGCAAGAGTGGAAGATTTCTGTCTGCAATTGTCTTCTCTACATGTGAATTTAAGCCATCTTTACAGCATTCAGAAGAGAGCATTCAGTATCAGGGGAAGCATTTTCTTCCTAGCCTTCTGAAGACCGATTGCTAGAAATCAGCCATGATTGTGACTTCGGTGTCAATTTAGAGAACTTTCTGGAGCAGCTGTTGGAAGTTAGTGCCTGATAGTCAAGGAAGCGTGGTGCTCATGATCTCATGGACCTGTGCAGCAACTCCAGTGTTGTAGCTATCTTCCAACACAAACTGGATCATCACTAGATGATCACTAGATCATCACACTAGATCATCATCTAGTCTGTTGTCTGTTTGTTCACAGCCTTTAGAATTAATTTGTTTCTACAGGCTGGCAGCAGTGAAACACTGCTCCACTGACTGCTTATCACTTGAATCCAACAGTACATTAAAAAGTTTGACTCTGCACGTGCTGTGTGTGCCTTCTAACTTCAGAAATAATGCACGTGAATGCTTCTCGGCACTTCACATGATCAGGCCGTAAAAATGAATATTTCTTTCCATAAACTGTGAGCATGTGTTTAGTTTAAAGGTGAAAACTTTCTGGTATGTTTCCAAAAGGGAAAAAAAGTATGTAGTATTTTACAACACTGTATTTTTATTATTATTATATATCTGATATTACTACCCTGTCCTTAATATCCTGTGAAATCTAGACCGCGGCCTTCCCAGCTTTTGTGCCAAAGAGAGTGATTTTGCAAGCAACTTGGATGGTACCATACATTTTAAGATCCTGTTTTAGTCATTGTGTTTATGGTGCTTGTGATATCTCTCTCTCTCCCTCCCCCTCCCTCTCTCTCTTTGGCACAGAAGCCAGGTCTGCAGCCTAGATTTCTCAGCTCTTAGAACCGGATCCAACTGCAGCCTTTTCTTTTGATTTCAATGGAATCTGGATCAGCCTCTTTAGGAGGCTGTTTACTGTGCTGTGATTACATTTTCAAATGACAATCTAATGAAGAATTACTTTTCTCCTCTTTTTGGAATCCGATAAACAAGTTTTTAAAACTTACAACAAAAACGTTTGCATTTCAGCAAAACATTTGCTGTTTAGTTGTAGCAAAGCCTACATATTCTTTGTAAATGTCTCTCATCATCTGCCAATGGCCAGACTCCCTGTGCTGAGGACATCTCACTGTGGACAGTGCGATGATTACAACACAAGATCAATGGCTTAACATTAATACAAAGAACATGCAATTTTGATTTAATCATTAAATCACAAAGTGAAGACTGTACCCAGTTTGTTCTTGCTCAAGAAAGAGAATGTGTCGCTGCTTTTCGGCTGATCACTGAATTTTTTATGTTTCTCCTCCCTTCAGAGCCTAATGTAATGTCCCAACATGCAATTATTTTTCCACAACAGGAAATGCTTGTTAGAACCCTCTTATTTTGCAATAATCATATATTATGTCTGTTAATACACCTTGCCCTCATGAAGAGACATGTCAACACAACTGATTAAAAATGGTCTGAAGGAGACTAGAAGTTTCCATGTATAAGCCTACCCTGCTCCTCTGAGATTGTGAAATAAAGGAGTGTTTTAATCTCTGAAGTTGCAAAGACTTAAACACAGAAACATCATACACACCCTGGTCAGTGCTCTGGAAATTAATCAGATCCTCAGCAAAATCTCACTGCCTAACAACTGAACAGTTCTAAGCCTCATTTCCTCTGCAACCAAACTGCTGAAATAAAACTGTTTTTAAAAATAGATTCTCAGAACTATCCCAACGGTATAAAAGCTATTCGTACACAATATGGAATGTACATCACATGCAGTTTAATACAGTTGTTTTAACATGCTTATATAGCTAATGACTATCAGTTGGCTCCTGATGTGTGCTTAATATTTCTTACAACGCATAAAGATAATTCTTAACTGAATCAAAGGGCCAAGTAACTGTGCAGCCAGAACAACTGTCCAGCCACATGGAAATAACATATCTATGGATATCCATTGGAGAACAAACACTATTAATAACAGTAGGGCTCAATTATTCCTCTATGTGCTAGCTGACATGCTGCTAAACAGAACAGTCACTGAACCAGCCAGAAATGAGGTTATTTTAGATTTTTTTTTCGGTAAGTAGCAGGGACATTGCAGGAAAGGCCAGCGTGGTATGTAATTTCATTTCAGCAGACATAGGCTGCCCAGTTTAAATTAAATGGAAAGGATAATTGAAAGTGGGGTTATTGGTTCCAGGGGGGCAAACTTTGCAAACCGTATGCCTTACTTGTCTAAGGCAAAGAAAAGGGACTTGATGTGCGAGGAAGACACTTGGAAGGTAAAAGAAAAAGACTGAAAAAGTGACTTTGGATCTTTTACTTCAAACAAGGTGAAAATCTTGGATGAAAGAGCTTCTCAGACTAAACACTATAAATGCGGCTCCTTGCTCGCACAGATGCACAAATATTCCACCACCCCCATCCATCCTCCAAAAAATCCAACTGACACTAGGTGTAAGCAGAATTCTGCAACGGATGGGGAAAAAAAAAGACTGGGGGAAAAAGAAATATTAAAAAAAAAATGATTGGTTTAAGGGTCAGATAATACTGGGACTAAGACCTGCCAAAAAGTCAAGCCGAGTTAGACCTTGGAAAGGAAATTAAAACAAACAGCACAAGGTTGTTTAGCCACAGAGGCAAAAAGAGAATGAAAAAAGAGAAAGTGAAGCTGTTATACTGTAGGAATTGGATATATATTAAAGTTAACCTATGTGTGGACCCAAAATGGAAGAACTCCTTTGCCTCAGTAAATCATTTTCAATAAAGATGAAGAAGTTAAGTACAGGGACAGAAGAGAGAATAGAAACCACTCTATTCAAGATAGAAGTCAAACTTAATATGCTGATCCAGCTGGAAGACTGCATCAGAAATTACAAGATGAGAGGCAGAACCTGGCATATGTTTTATCAGGCAGGGATCATATTAGTGCAGAATAGCCAAGGACCCATCTTTAATGTAAAAAGGAAGAAAAAGTGGTAGTGTAGGAGTCACGAGAAGAGAGAGGGGAAAAAAGTGAAAGAAGGAAGAATAATTAAAGAGTAAATGAAACACAGAATCATGGAGTGGTTTGGGTTTGAAGGAACCTTAAAGATGACCTAGTTCCAACCCTCCCACCCTGGGCAGGAGTACCTTCCACTAGACCAGATGGCTCAGAGCCCCATCCAGCCTGGCCTTGAACACTGCCAGGGATGGGAGTTCACAACATCTCTGGGCAACCTGTTCCAGTGCCTCACTACTTTCACATCTAATTTAAACCTACCCTCTCTCTCAGCTTAAGGCCATTGCCCCTTGTCCTGTCACTACATACCCTTGCAAAAAGTTTCTCGCCAGCTCTTCTGTAACCCCCTGAAGGTACTGGAAGGTGCTCTAAGGTCTCCCTGGTGCCTTTTCTTCTCCAGGCTGAACAACCCCAACTCCCTCAGCCTGTCTCAGCCTATAAACAAGGTAATGCCTACTAACTTGTCTTTATTTTCTCAAATATAACACATTTTATGGTGACAGAATGTGAAGGATTGCCAGAGGACTTGACATGGTGCCACTTAAGCAGCTGAAATTACGGAAAACAAATACAGCATAAGAAGTTTAAGGTAGGTGAGAAACTGGGAAAAAGGGAAACAAAGGCAAATAATGCAGAAAGGGATGTCATTGGATCAGATGGAGATTACTAGTTAATTACTAATTAAAGGTAATAATAGAATGCTAACTTTTGCTGAATGTACACCACTGAGTAGCATTATGAACACCTAAAGAGCTTTTAACACTGTGAAAAAAAGTCAGGGAACCTTCAAGACTGGAACCATTAAAACCAGATTAAGTGTACAGAAGAAGTAAAAGGTCATGTAAACAGAAACTCACTGCATGAATTTCTTATAAATCTGAGAATTGATCAAGTAAAAACTGCAGTAGAAAAAAAAAACCACCCAACTGTGTGCCTTAACTATTCACAGCACAACAGAGAGCTATCTGATCCCACATCAATAGAGGCAAATGGGATTCTAGTCTGTAATGGGACAAAGTATTTCTAGTTAAGACAAGAAGAGAAGAATGCTATCATATTGTATGAGTAAAGGTTTTATAAGAAATAATTACACATTTTTCTGGTCACCTGCTTTGAAACAATTGAATTCATCTTGGAATAGATGTAAAGAAATTTCCAAAATGAGGGAATGAAAAACCCATCTTACACAACCAAGTTGGCTTCTCAAAATGAAAACACAAAGCATATATGTTTTCCCTTTACACACTGAGAAAACTAATGTTACGGAGGGAAAGGAGCCATTTCAATTCCAAAAAACAATGATAAAGTTAGCACAAAAGGGCAGGGGAATAAATTGGCCAAGAAGAAACTCAAGGTGGAATTTACAGAAAGGTTTCTGAACATCAGAGGAATGAGGTTATAGAACACTCTTCCAAGAGAAGTAATGGAAATAAAAAATCCTAATGAGACTCACAGTGAAGAATGGTCAGTGTATGAGAGATTATCCAACACGGTTGTCTGGGAATCCATGACCCAGGAGGTCCCTTTCAGGGTCCTCCAAAATTATATATGAAAGAAAACCTATGAGGTCATATTGTCCCATCAACCTCAATAAAACTAAATAAGCAAAACACATATGAAAAATACTGTTGACCAAAACCATAAAATATGCTTCTCTTTTTCTTTCCCCCTTTTTTTTTAAACAGGAAAATCAACCAAAATACTCCTTATTAAAAATATGAGTGACCTGGTAAACTTCTTGTGTTATTTTAGACTGGCTTTTCACAAGGCCTTTCACCTTACTTAATGTATTGTACCCAGTGCTTGGTCTGGTCCAATTTCAATAATAGCTCAGAAAAATTAACTTACAACACATCTATCCATATCTTAATGTTCTCCTACCTTCAGTGGTGGCTCTGGTGCTGGGCTTCTAAGTTCTGGGAGCCTGCAGAACAGAAGATTTTAAATTAAAAATTAAGACAGAAGAATTGCACAACCTAAAGTTTGGAAATCCTTCTTCATCAAAGTTGGTTTAGTTATCAGCTACTCACACATGGCAAGCACTTGCAAAAAAAAGCAGCTCATGGACTGTATATCTGACTTATGAAACTGTTCAGCTATGAGGCTTCAAGCTGCAAATTGCACACTTTTCCCAAAGGCCACCATAACAGAAGCCTTTGAACAGAACTGAACTGATGAGTACGTACAGAGTCCCAGTGATGATCCAAGCCAAGCCTGCTGCTGGCAGAGAACATCAGGATGAGGATGTTGGCTCACCTTCCAGATTTAAATACAAACTAACACAGGTGAGATAAGTATGTCAAACCCAAGCAGCACTAAGTGAGAGGGAAAATGAAAGAGGACTGGGGATAAAGACTCAATTCTTGGCTCTGCTGTTTGTGCTTGACAATTCTGGACAAACTGCTTTTTTGGACTTTCTTCCCACTTGCTTTAAAATAGGATACATTACTCAAGGTTTCATCACACAATGGTGGTAACAGACATATCTGACTTTAGTATTACATCTCCCCCAGCTCACAGTCCCTAACACCATCGGAAAGCCAAAAAGCCCCCATGACCTACATTTGAAAAATCACATTTAAAGTGTGGCAAATATAATCTCATTGTGCCATTCACTGCAACTTTGATGAATAAATCTCAATATTCAACAGAAGTGATTAAATGGACATTAATCCACACCATGAAAACTATAAGCTAGCTGGAACAATACTTACCCCAAGTATTTTAACAACTCCTTACTCAGATCTTCAGGAATATACTCTGATATTAACCCATGGGCATACCGTACATAATCTTCAGGAAGAGGTCAGGGAGTGGAGAGGAGGAGAGAAAGAATATTAATGTTACACAGTCACTGTTGCTTTAGCCATGTTGCATGTACTACCATGAGGCACAAGGTTGAATCAATAGTAACAGGCTCCTAATGGATACACTGTGATGCTTCTCTGTGTCGAGTAGTTTATGTTATATGACACTTGTAGGTTTATTTAAAAAGCGAAGACTTACTGCACTCACTTTGTCAGCACATGTTATTAATATCTGCTGCATGTACTTTATAAAAGCTCTTCACTTTCTGAGTGTACTAGATATCATGTATTTTTCCGGAGAAATTAAATTTTAAAAACCTGCAAAAGTAAAAAGCTGACTCAACAGAACATGCAATCATTAATTTTAAAGCATCTGGATCTTACAATTATTTGGCAAGGGCTTCAGTACTAAAGAACATTTTCTGGCTTCAACTGAAAACAATTAGATGAGACAATGAGTCTATTTCAAATGGACTGTCTATTTCAAAGTCTTGTACTTAATTTTCAGTACTTTATAGAAAATGCCAAGGCCTATCTAAACATCACTGGCAAGACAGGATAATTATCTGTGGAAATATGAACTACTAGAAGCTGTTTTCAGTACAGGGCACTCCTGCTATAAATGTTTTTCTGAGACACTGGGGGAAAAAAAAGTGGCCCTTTTATAACATGAAGTCCTAAACCACATCTTTTCCGGTCACGTTCTACACAAGCACTTACTGATCGTGGGCTGGACTTTTTAAACTTGCTGTTGTTGAGGCTGCTAGGGAGTAACTGCACCCATGCACAGGAAGCATTTCCCAGATAGATATTAAGGTAAAATCTCACCTCTGAATTCCAACTCCAACAGACCAGTTTATCTGCTCATATGCCTATGCACTTAGAGAGTTCAGAAGCACAAGGTATACCCACCTTAAGGTAACAAAGAACTAGTTCTTTAGTGCCAGAGATAAATTTATCTTTTTTTTTTCCATTTTCTTTTTTTTTAACCTGAAAAGCCCAATGTAAACTGGCATTGAATGAGAAAGCATTAACAAACTCACAGCAAACACATTTAAACCATACTGATAATAAATTCTTACTATCACCTTTCTGCACTTCTCCTTCCTTCACTGCTTAGTTAATCGAAGATTTTTCACTCTCTAAGCCCACTTCAGGGTCAGGAGAGAACAAGAAATAATTCCAATCCAAGAAAATTTCACCTCAGCACTTAATATGTCCAATTTATTGCTTAAGAAAAATATTCCCATCATTTCACTCTCTGCATTATGACACTGAATGGTGAGTCCCAGTCAACTGCTATTATTTCATACTAAATAAAAAATCCAATCCCTTTCCATTTCTGACTCGAAGCAATCTTCACTGACTTCCTTTACCAATTTAAAAGTACCTCTATTTGCCTCCTAGGGAGTCTGTGTTCTCACCCTAGAGTAGCTTTGTTATTAACCTTTGTCAAACATCAGGAATACTTGCACATCTCCCTTCATCTTCTGAAAGTAATATTCAAGTCTCATATGATAAACTTCCCCTACTACCTTTCTGCTCTCATTACATCCTCCCCTATTTTTGCCCTACATTTGTAGATACTAACTACATATGCCCACCTATTTTTAAGGTACTGAAATTTCATAATACCCCTATGAAAGCAATTCTTTACAGAAATAAATTGCACTGTCACAGCAATGAAAGGATCAGACGAGAAAATGAGTCTTATTAGAAATAAGTGCTGAGTAATGTCCATTTGACTTCCTGTCATTCACCTTGCCACAGTGGGAGTACCTCCAAAACTCACCTACTTTAAACCCCAGTATTCCAAATTTCAATGGGGCTCTGTCAAACATGAAAACTCAAGGTTTTTAAAAAGACTATTATAACCATGTCACTATAAATAAAGAGCAAGGTGAAAAAAAAAAACCCACTGCAGATTAAAATTTAATTCTAAATTTCAGAGAAAAAGTATTTAAGCATAGTCAAGTTGTTGCCAGGTTATCAGAGAGATTTAAACTTGAAACTTTCCCCTTTCTTTAAAAAAGTAGGGGCTGGGAAAAAGATGAAAAGCTACTGTGAAGTTAAAGTCACAAGTTTTGAAATTTTGTCTCTTTTTAAAAACAATATATTATAATCTCTGTTCTATAAAACTGTCTATTTGCCTCTTAAATCTCATTTATGTTGCTTCCTTTAATATCATTACTTGGTAGCTCATTTTCCACTTTGTCAGCAAGCTGCTCTGTTTCTTCTTAATTTTCAACAGCATGAAGACTTCTGAATGTCTTTGTAATAAGAAAAAATTTTCTTTGGTTTATCTTGCTCTAAACTGTTCTTAATTTTCATTAACATCTGAAGATTTTATTCCGACTCCATTTTCAGGTTTCTCTATAGAATTTCACATCAGTAACATTCAGGACATTGTCCTTCCCAGCAAAATTGTGAATAGAAGCAAACAGGCTCCCACCAGACTTTTTGGTAACAGGATTGTTACAATTTAATACACTTATTATTAAAATTTTGACCATAATAATGACACATTTGTGTATTTGTAGTGGGTTGGGGCTGGTAAAACACCAGTGCATCCACAAAAATCATCCAACTCACACATTTATTGCATAAAGTAATGTTTGGACCAGGAGCCTTTTCTCTGTGACCATGACTTCGTAAGACCCCTTCACCATTTTGAAGAATTCTATGAATGCAACATGCTAATATGCCATGCATCCTAATAAAAATAATAAAAATAACAATGAAAACAATCAGGTTCTAACACAGACACACTACTGAGTTGGAACTCATATATATTATAAATATAATTTATTATATTATTTATTCTTTAACACAGTCTCAGTTCAGCAAAGCAATTCAGCATATATTTCACTGAGAAAAATGTTTCCTCCTTGAACTGTGGAGAAGTTAAGAGAATCCCAGCTGAGACCTACTGTTAATTACAATGTCATCTGATGAAGATACCAAAGAACTTGGAAAAGCCAAGCCACACAGTCACAACTTATACGGAATTTTCTGTACAGGGAATAAATTTACTGCAAAGGCCAATTTCAATGTATTTTACTTTCCAATCATGTATTTTATCTCTGCTTATGTGACTTCACAAAAATAGAATTCATTACTATGTTTAGTTTTCTTACCTTCCTGAGCATCTGTGATCTGTTTACTGTTGATAAATGTACTTGCAAGCACCCTTTCACCTACTGATATATCGTTGCTTTTAAGTGCTTTCACTGTTTGATTAACCTACAGAAAACCAAAGAATGAAATGCCTGTATCAGTATTGTTATGCACATGTTAATGCAGTGACAAAGCTCTTGTAATTTTGTTTCAAGCATATAAAACACTCAAGTTATGGACTGTGGTGAAATTTAATATACATTTGTAATGACTAGCAGATGAGCTCAAAAACCCCAAAGAAACTAGCATGTCTTTGAACATGTTGCATGGCAACACAGCACCACTTTTGCATCACCCTAAGATGAGCTGAGCTGGTCAGACCCAACAGCCAGGATTATACAGGTGAGAAATGCACCTGCTCAGACAGCACTCCTGAGCTCATCAGGATGGCAAAGACAGTCCTGGTGGAAATCAAGGATTAAGGACTTTACAGGGCACTGCTGTGCTAGATCCAACAGAGAGAGAACCGCCAGATGAAGATATTTTCAACAACACAAACAGGTAGCTGTTCCCATGTAAATATTCAGGAAATCATTGCAAAATAGGTATTCACTCCCATGCCTAATCACTGCAGAAAGTGGACCAGATTTTGTGCTTGCATTGATTAATCTAAATGACAAGGCCTCTTCATCATGTGATGCATACCATCTTTTTCTAGAGTGGCATTGTATTGAGGGCACATGTGCATGAGTAAAATGAAATTCACGTTCTTTATACCAGAACAAAGACCCCATCAAGCACAGCTGTAACACTAGTTTATTTCTGGCATACTGTATAGACCTCTTGAACAGCAGCATGACTGGATCAGGATAATAGCAACCAAACCAGGACCATTCTGAGTGAACTCTGCCAAAACTTCAGGAAACACATTTGTAGCACAAAACCAAGACAGCTCTAGCCAGCTTCAAAGCTGGCAAAATTTAGAAGCTGTAGCAATCAAAATTCTCCTCTTGTCCATCTATGAAAGGGACAAAGCAAAAGCAAGCCCCTCACCTTATGCAAAGGCTACAGAAATAAGCTGACAGCTTCTTCCTACCCCCACCCCATAAGCCTCTTTCATGGCCAGTCCCATCAAAAAGAGAAATGCAAAAAGCTTGTTAATATCTCTAACACCTGATCACATTCCCAAGTGGAACAACTTTACTGTGATGTCTGTCCTTCTTGGACAGGACACATTCCTTGAACTGAGGCACAGCACATGGCTACAATGCAAACATGGACAAGCTAATAAGCATTTCCATTTTAAACATATAGCAATTTTTAAAGCAAAAGATAAACACAATACCTTTTTCTTTAACCACTTCAGTGTCTTCTCTTGGCTGTATTTGTGGAATTTCTGACTGCCAATCTCTGAGAAAAAACAAGCAAGGGGAAAAAAAGTCATGTCTGGTTTGGATTGCACTTTCAATACCTTTAAAATCTTTTAACTTGCAGATACAATATAAAAGTTAATTTGCATCTTGCACATGTTTGATATCAGGGCAATAAGTTTCAAAAATATTGGAAGCAAATAAAAAACTAAACCAACTGGTAAAACAGACTGAGCTGATATGAACAAGCCTGAACAATTTGACAGTTCTTTAGTTAGTACCTAATTCAGAAAAGCACAGGTTTTATTTATTTATGTGTAATTTTGGGTTCCCTTAATTCACTAAGACTCTTCTCAGCTCTTGTAGTTTCACTTCACTGCCCAGTGTCACCACACTGGTGATTTTAACTTCATAGTTCACAACACAAAATGTTGATTCCACAATTTATTTTTTTGAAACAGATAATCTTAAACTTTTATGTACTGAATTCCAGCACCTAGTAAGGGGCCAGGACAGAGTTGGTTACTGAAGCTAAACCATCCACTTTTTCAACAAATCCTTTCCCTGTCAGTTCTCCTCTCTCATGTCAGTGACTAAAGCAGAATTTTTACTTCTATCTCCCTTTTACATAATTCAATATAATGTTAAAAAAAATACAGAATCCAAAATAGCAAAACTCACTCCTTGTGGGAGGAAGTACATGATTCACTCATGATTTATGGAGCAACACAAATTAACTTGATGATATAAGAATTTCAGAGAGTGCTTCCCCTGTGATAATGAGGGCATCATGAACACTTGTTATTCACATGTCATCAGTTATCTGGAGACACATGAGCTCAAAACACCCAGGCAAAAGAGAAAATTATGAAGGCTCAGGGAAATTTCAGTATAAAAATTCAGTATTCACTCACAGAAAGCCACATTTGGGAAATGGAATCAGATGCCTAATAAGATTTCACAGGAGATTTTGGAGCCTGCTGCTTCAGTGTTCCTTTAACAGGTATTTCAATAAGTTTTAATCTCCTGAATACTGTTCCCATAAATACCTACATCTGTTTCATGTCATTTACTGATACAGTGTCATATTCCAACACTCATTTCATGGATTTTCCTTCTCCCCTGGCAAACAACAACATATTATTTATGATTCCTTCAGCATTTCCTTCTTTGGGGTTTATCTTGGCTCTTCCAAATTGCACACAAATAGTGAACTATTATGTGCTCTTTCTGTGTGCATGGCAGGGGGTATGGAGAGGTCGAGGAAAGCTGTTTGTAAGTTAAAAGTTTAAATCTGTCTCAGCAGTTGCACAATAGCAAAATACAAAAATTCTTCAGAGCAAAAATGAAAAAAAATACATTAATATACACTTTGCTTTATGATGAGCTGCAGGTAAAACAATTAGCCGTGACATTGTTGGCTGCAGGTTTTAGGAGTTAGAAGCTTCTAAATGGCCCTGGAAGAAAAGAAACAGAAATACTCGATACTTGAACCTGCTTCTCAAAGGGCTAACGTGGTTTGGGTTCAAGTACAGTGAGTACAATTCATGGATTCCTCTCTTATCTACGAAAGTTCGAGGAAGGGACATCCTCTGGGCATCATCCCCAACCCATGCTGTAAAATAATTCTAGTCTGGATTCCCAGGCAGACTCCCCCACAACAGCATGATTCAGAGTGACTCAGGGAAAGGAAATGTAGAACTGTGAAGCCATTTTCATTAAAACATGTGAAAAATAATTACACTGAACCCTTCAGAGATCACTTTGTTTGAAAATATTTTGTGTGCTTGACAGTTTTGACTATTAAACTCTAGAAACTGACAATATTTGAGACCTCTGAAGAATTAAAGTGAGTTATGAAAGTCACAAACTGCTGACAAAAGGATTCAATACTGGAACGTGGATTTAACATGTGATGCACATTTGATATTGGTGAGAGTTAGTGACTAGGTTTGATAATATGAGTATATATTGGAAAGCCTTTTGTTCCCTAATGTGTCTGGTGCCTATAAAACTGGTCTGAGACATCTGGAAAGATTGGGTTTGAGAAATACAGATGGAATATAAGTGGTTCTACAATTAAATAATATGCTCAGTGATCGGGTAATCGCTATGTAGACTTGGAAGTTTCCCTGATGTATTGTTGAGCAAACTGCCTAAAGCACATTTTAAAATCCATTTTCTCAGTGTTTTCCATAACTCTGAAACTTATATGGCCCCTTTTTTCCTACCTTCTGGGAATACAAGCTTGGCAATATTATTTAGTTATTCTAATCAGGTAAGTTTTCTTGGCTCTTCATGTTAATCACATCAGACAAGATCACAGTGCAGCTTTTGCCTTGCAAAATGAAACAAAGAGTAACACTCTGGAACTGGAATTCATAACCCTTCTCTACTGTACGTTCAATCCAATGTCAGAATTTATTAGCAAACAACCTGCCTCACCCATAGCCTTAGTGAGCTGTAACACACCCTTTCCACAACTACTAAAGCAGGTAATTCAGAATTTAATTCAGCTAAATGAATTTTCAGTGCACTTCAAGAATGAGGCCAGGGAAGGTGGATTTTCTGCTAATTCAGTAAGCGTAAACTGTGAGTGCTCTGGGGTAAGAATTTGTTAGACAGATGTTAAATGTCTTAAGACTAAATGAAGAGTGAAATAATGATGTTGTGAAGTTCTGTCAAGCAGAACAGAGCTGCAGAAGCCCTAACACAACTGATATTTCTTACCCTAATGCTTTACTCCTTAAATGAGAAAGGCTACAAAATGGACAACAGGTCTTAAGAGCCAGAAAAGAGTGAGTACCTGAAGTCATAATGCTGGTATTTTTTACAAGCAATAAAAGACATGAGAATATGAAACACATAGAAGTGGATTAAACAGAAAGGTGATGTGTGCATGACAGGCAAGCAGGTGCCAATAGGTTTGTTGCATAACAGTACTCTTGGTGTTCTAAAAAAAGAAAGAAATCTTAAGAACAACTGTAACCCAATCCAAACCTGAGCAAGAAAAGAAGTAGCACATACATGCAGGTACATGCCTGGGAAAATCCAAGAACATCCCATAAAGCTGATGTGTGCATGTGTGTACAGCTTTCATGACAAAAGCATTGTTCACCTTGCAATTCAAAACAAAACCCAGGAAGTGAACACACCTTTAAAAGCTAATATAATTTGTTGGAAAAATGACACAAACTTATAGGTATACATAATATATTACTTAAAATGGAAAAAAAAACAGGCAGTGAAGCATCTTCACTACTGTCTAGCATAATACAGTTTATGGGAGGATGCTCTGATGGATAACAACTGCAAATACAGTATCAGAATGGGTACAGAAGTTACACAAGACACAAGATCTTTTCTACAGCAAATATTTTTTTTGCTTTGGGAACATAAATACTGCCCAAAGGCTATATTGTTGTTTGGAGGAAGTTGCCCCTTCACAAAAATAATCCAGACCTTACCATAAATTCCTATGAAGATTTAGGTTTGACAGCCAAAAGGATGTGGCACCATTTTTCACCTTCTCAGGGTGACCAACCTGACCTGCATCATGACAACGTGATCCACTTAGTGGATGAGGGAATGGCTGTGGATGTTGTCTATCCAGACTTCTGGAAAGCATTTGACACTGTCTCTCACAGCACTGTCCTACAGAAGCTGGCAGTTCATGGCTTGGACAGGCGCACTCTTCACTTTCACAGGGTGAAAGCCAGTCTGGATGGCCAGGCACAGAGAATCATGTTACATCCATTTGGCAGCCAGCCACTAATGGTGATCCCAAGGCCAATTCTTTATCTAATATCTTTATCAAAGATCTGGATAGGGGGAATGAGAGCTCCTTCAGTCAGCTCACAGATGAGAGCAAGCTGGGCAGGGGTGTGGATCTGCTGCAGGATAGGAAGGCTCTGCAGAGGGATTTGGAAAGATCTGATTGATGACCCAAGACTGAATGGCATGAGGTTCAACATGGACAAATGTCAGCTCTTGCACTTGGGTCAAAAAACAACAAATCTCTGCAACACTACAGGTTGGAGGCAGGGGCTGAGAAGCTGCTCAGAAGAAAGGAATCTGGGAAAGGAAAGGCATCTCAAACAGTGGCTGGACATGAGCCAGCAGTGTGCCCAGGTGGCCAAGGAGGCCAATGCACCCTTGGCCTCTTATCAGCAATAGTGTGGCCAGCAGGAGCAGGGCAGGGATTGTCCCTGTCAGCACTGGTGAGACCACACCTCAAATCCTGTGTTCAGTTCTGAGCCCCTCATTACAAGGACACTGAGGGGCACGAGTGTGTCCAGAGAAGAGCAACAGAACTGGGGAAGGGTCTGGAGCACAAGTCTGATGAGGAGCAGCTGAAGGTGCTGGGGATGTTTCCTCTCAATGAGGCTCAGGGGGGACATTACTGCTCTCTACACCTAACAGAAACAGAAAGGAGTTGCATTAAAGTGGGAGTCAGTCTCTTTTGCCATGTCTCAAGTGAAAGGACGAAAGGAAATGGCCTTAAGTTCCACCAGGAGACCTTCACATTAGATGTTAGAAAAATGTGTTCACTGAAAGACTGGTCAGGCCTTGGAATAAAGTGCCCAGGTCAGTGGTGGAATCACAGTCTCTGGAAGCATTCAAGAGGAGTCTGGATGTGGCACTTGGAAGTAGGGTTTAGGAGTGACTATGGTAGTGCTAGGTTGACACTTGGACTAGACCATTTTGAAGGTTTCCTCCAACCTTGATTATTGTGTCATTCTGTACACAGAAGTTTAATAGGTCTTCTCTCACCCTGGCTACTTATCACATGTTAGACAAGTTGTTTCAGCAATTGCCTAAAAGCTTAAAAATACTTTTTAATGGAAATACCTGTCACTCCATGAGAAGGCAAAAAGAGTTTTGCACTTCAGATGCATCTGTCCTAAAGAAGCCTTCTCGGAAGTAAGAACTCACCCAAAGAAAAAGATTGTTTGGTCCAAATGATACAAAATGTAACTAAATGTATCTGTAGGTTCTTTTGGAAATGCAGGAGGAATAGCAATATTACTCCACAATTATGTGTTTATGGAAGCACACAATTCCAACTACCCCAGACCCAAACAAAATGTGACAACAGCCTTGCTGCCTAGATTTTGTGCTCCCTCATGAAAGTGAGCACTTTCAACAGAAACATGTCCTGCCCTGAAGTTCAAATGCAACTTGCCTACCTTACTGCACATGCACCATATCAAGCCCAAAATACTTAAACTTGTGCACCTAACTTAACTTCCAACTTCTGCCCCACACAAACACCTTAATGTTCTATGCAGCTGGGAGGAGGTGTGGTCTCTTAATTAGCAGACTTTATTTTTTCATCACCTTTCCTTAAGCCACTTTCCAATTATCTGTAGATCATCGTAATATTTCTTCTCATTTGTTCTTTTCTCTTTAACCCCAACTCCTTGGAGATGCTCTAGAGCATAAGAATCAGACAGCTAACTAGTTTTGCACTTGGTGGTGCAAAAGATGCCTGTATGTTCTCTTGTAGATCTCCATGTGCATGTAGGAAAATCTCCATTCCCTATCATGGAGTTAGCAAGCCTAAGTAGGATACTGTTTAAAGGACTGAAAATAAAAACTGAGGTCTTGCACATTTTGCATACCTGCACACCTGTTCCTGTTCCTTCCCTAGAAAGCATATATTGTCCTCAAATACAATGAAAGCCCCCACACCAAAGGGAATTCTGAGCAAAGGTTGAGGAAACTATGCATGGAATTGATAGCTTGCTAACTTTCCATTTGAGTTTTCTCATATACTTACGCATCCAAATCAATTCCTGTATTTTAAAACAATTAAGTCTTTAAGCTTAAACCCAAAACACTAAATTATGCAAAGCCAGAAAACTTGTATTCTCCTTTTTCAGCAGCATACTCATTCTTCTCCAGATTTTTTTCTACTTTTTGTTTCAATGCTTTGTGACAAAGGATGAAAAAAGTAAAATGGACCACTTCCATGCCAGACTATCCTACACCAAATAAAGAATTTAGAGAGATGTAAAATTCTGATCCAAGTCAAAGAGAGTTCACAACATATACAATAATGTCAAGAAGCCAGCTCTGATTGGTTTATCATTTTTATGACAGCTAGCAACAAGAGTGCATGAGTTTTTCAGAGTTGCAGCAGATAGTCTGAAATCCACACATTTCTGTTCACAAGACTGCAATGACAAGCTCTAAGCCTAAGCTTCTGTTTTTAAAGTACAGCTGTGTCCAGCACTTTGGTTGCTTGGTAAAGCAAAAAACAGTATTTAAATCTATCTTGTAATGAGGTGACACTAACAAATTGAGGCTTTTTTTTTTTTTTTTGTCCTCCTCCCCCATCCCTTTTTTTCACCTTTTTCCTCTGTTACGTGCTGTATGTACTGTTTAACATCTGCACACTTCAGCAGCAATGGGCAGCTAGGGTATTCTGGGTCTAGCACAACTTGATCAAGTGGCTGGAACTTTCCTTGCTGCTGAAAATACATCAAAGGGATTACAAAAGCATTACTAAAATGTTAAGACACATATAATACACACTACACATATGTATATAAATATATATGCATGCAATGGCCATAGTTTTAAAATAAAGGATTTAAAGAAGATCGTATTTTGAATGGTAACACATGACACGTTCAGAAACTGATTACAAAGCAAGCTATAAATATTTATTTCAGACCAGTAAATACCTGCAAAATGCTGAACTCTTCAAACACTGCACTTAAAAGGCCAAATTTAAAACAACACAGGGAGAAACTAATGTGAAGTACAGCGGGATTTTTTGGAAGATGACATAAGACACAGCAGTCAGTGTGTGCCAATAGTGTTTTAGACCAAAACCTGTTGGATTAAATCCAGTGTCATAACTTCCATTCAAATTTTGCTTTTCCTTCCACAAAGATAAATCTCAAAGGAGAAGGGCAGCTTCTGGAACACAGTATTAACCTTTCACCTCCGCAAAGTCAATTCCAGCTTGGCCAGAGTAGGGAAATAAAGTGATTTTGGCACAACTTAAATAGCCCCACACATGACAGAACCATCAAACAAATTTTGCCATTGCCAAACAATGCATAATCATTCAGCATGGTTTGGCACAACTGGCAACTTTCCCTTTGGAAAGATCCTTTAGTGCATCAGTACAAAGACTGTGTGAGCTTCTCATGCTTAGAGAGTGTGCAGTCTCTGAAGCCAAGGCTGAACTCATTATACGGGTCAGCATGAAAAAACCCACTTGGGGTACACTGCTTTCACTATTAATTAATTCTCTTGCTAGACACTCAGAGGGCTTAATAAAAGTAACCATCTATTGTTATATCACAATAAGAACAAGAAAAAAATCCCAAACAAACACACAAAAAGCAGAACAAAGAAAGTATTTAGAGGGTGCTTTCTCCTTAAAAGGGAAAAGACACAATAGCAAAAAGAAGTGGCAAAAAGAAGTTAGGAGACACAAAAATAAAATTGCAGTCAGCTCTCCTTATAGATAACTTACCTGCTTGTGTCCCAAAGCAAGACAGCTGCATTTACATCATGCATGGGCACAGAGCCCAAGCCAAGAAAGGCGCTGTACAGGAGATGGCTCTGCTCAGAGACACACCAAACAATCCTGCATCACACTATCAAAATCAAAGGATAGTGCAAAGGATAATTCTATGATATCCAGTGATATCCATTAGTTCAAGCTGGAAGTGACTGTGCTGCATTCAGGCTAACCTTGACACAAGACTAGAATACACTGACTTAGGCAAGGCGCTGCAGGAATGCATTTGCCCTTTTTTAGGACCCAAAACAGCTCTGTGCATTTATCTGGTATCATGCCTGGTCTAGAAAACCAGAAAACAATGTACCAAAAAAGTGAAGGGCAGCACATGACTTCCCATGCACAAAAAGAGCAGCAGCATCTGTCCTTTACTCAGGCTACCTCAACACCCCTCCACACAGAGAGGAGATTTACTACTTCCCTAATTTAAGTTTGGTTAAAGCTTTCAGAGGGATGATGAATTCAGAGTGCAGTGCCCAGGGAACAAGCTGAACTACCTCTGGAATGACCTCTTCTGATGGACCATCTTGACCACAGAAATACAGAATACATCTGTACACCCTATACCTCAAATAATTAAACAAACAGAACAGTAAGCTACTATTACAAAGGTATAGGAAGACTTTATTTCTTCACCATAAAAAACACCTGCTCTCCTGCATTCTCCACATGCAGTCTAAAGCAGAAAATAGCAAGCAACCTTGCAGAAATTCTTTTAGAGCAAAAATTCTTAGGATGCATAAAGTGAAACCAACCACAAAACAAAATAAACAAGCAAAATACAACAAAAAAGTCAACATTTCCATTTTATTTTGTGCCACTTTTTTCTCAGGCTGCTTATAAAAAAAAACCCAGTAAATTTGCCTATGACTTTTGATATACTTCAGAAATTTAAGTGAGGTTTTGCAACACCCAAGATAAATCAATGAAGCCATTTTTTAATTACTCAACTCTTGGATAGTCAGTCATCCCATTGCTGCGCATGGCACAGCATCTCTACAAATGCTGCTTCCTTTCAAGTTCAGACTGGCACAGAAATGTTCCTCCTTCCTCCTCCATAATATCCAAATTTTTCTTTCTTTTTCCCCTTTCCCAAAATAACCATTTTACTGATGCCTCAGAAAGGGCACTAGTTTGTTTTGATCTGATGACATGTCAGCATTTTAAATTCAATAGTTCTGGGACAGGCTCTCAGAAACAGACAAAAGAGATTCTCTTCTCTTGAAAAAGAAGGTGATTAGTGCTTGTTGAGATTGAAAGCTGACACTTGTAACATAATTTACCGACCAAAAAACTTGATCCAAACAAAAATACTTCAATGTATTAAAGTAATTCTGCTTTAAATGCAAATTAGATTTCCATTATTATGGAAGCTACTCTTTGTAAAATTAACATAACTTCTGCAGAACTGAAGTCAGAAATAATGTTTTCTCCTGAGAATCCCAGAGAAAATAATAAAGCAGGCTTACCTCTTTGTCTGCCTTTATGAGGTAGTAAAGTATCAGAAATAAGGGGTCCATTGGTGTAACAAACAGGAGGCGCCCATCTAGGTGACAGACATTCAAAAGTTAAAGCTTACACAATATATTGACTTTTTGGTTCTTTAGGATATTTTTTAGGAGTGTGAACAATTTTTTTTTTAAATAAGTATACCAATATTTTAATAAAACAAACAGAAAATTTCTATTTGTTATTTTATCTTAAAAATACAGAAATAACTCAATTCTCTACCCTGTCAAACCAAAGCACAAGCTCCACTTCAGGACTTCTGCTTCATGTACTCTGAGTTTTGCATTTTTCTGGACTGTATTAAAACCAGCAAAATTGAAGATGCCCTCTATTGGCAGATTTGGGGGCAACAGAAATTGGTTTGGGATACCAGAGACATTCAGCAATACTCCACCTCTAACACTAGGCAAAGCAACACTGTGCTGGCAGAAGACATAGGCAGGACAAGAAAGAATTTTGAGGGCTAATTAAGTGAGAGCTGTCTTCATCTGTAAAGAGAGAATCTGATGCAGTCTCCTAATGGAACAAAATAAACTTAGATCAGAAAACATGGCTCAGTGTGTTGCATTCAAGGTTACACACAAAGGAAGAACATGGTCTCCCATTGAAACAGACACCTCTGCCCATCTGGAGTTCATTGCAGGACAATGGGTTAGTCAGGCTTTTTGTATAACTGCAGATAATTGGAAACAATGTAACATCAAGGAAATTCACTAATGAGACCAAATAATTGATGACAATTTGACAGCAATTAGCAAACCAAAAGCAAATAAATGTAATTTTTTTGTTTTAAATCACATGATTAAGATAATTAAAGCAAAGGAAATCCTATCATGATGTCCCTAAAACTAACAAAAGATCATGTGGGAAGAATGTGGTTTGGGCAAAGCTGATATCTGACCTACCATGTGTATTAACGACATGATGCTCTGTGTGAGGCAAAGCAAGCATCAGTACTACTTACAAACACAAAAGCTTTGAAATTGAAATTGGAAGGAAAAAAAACCACTAGCCACTTTCTCAAAGCTTCCATTTAAATGCTTTTCATTGAACCTCTAGGGTTATTTTTGGTGGTTCTAAAGATTCAGACTCACTGGAGGTATATGAATACCTCTGCCCTTCTCTGCAGATAACCAGACAATTTGTTTTAACTGCAAACACACAGATTTTTTGGTGTTGCTCTTCTCCTCACTGTTACAGAGATACAGCAGCCCTGACATTCGGGAGCAATTTTTCCACTGTCTTTTTTAAAGAAAACTGAGGGCATGATTTCTTAAGGCAAGGGTTTCCCAAGGGCCAAAATAAAGGTTAGAAAGGGAGAGAGAATACAACATGGACATAATTGGGAGCAGGGAGCAGACCCAGTCTGTTGGCTCACCCCCAAGACAGAGCAAGGAAAAGCTCAGAGACATACTGCTTGCATTGCTTTATGTGCCTGCAGAGGATGTTTAAAAGTTAGCACACACTTTGGGATATTACCGTTAAAGAAGGCATATGTCTGGAAGGGTTGCTTTTATTTATTACTATAAATGGACTTTTCTCTAATGAAAAGGAATAAAATAAATATACCTTAATCTCCTGAATTAATACGTATGGACATGACAATACTTATGTCCATACTTATGGACATTAATACTGTGGACATGCTGGCAGAGAAACACTGCTACATTAACATCCTTACTGAAAAGGGATTGTGAAAGCTGTCACAAGCAAGTTACACAAGTTTCCTCCTCATTTTCAGACAGGTAAGCAGGATCAGAGAATGTCCAGGATAGTACAGACCAACTCCCTTCAGAGGTAACACTGAAATGGCAGCTTTGGACAGCAGGTCTCTCCTGAGAACCCAGCACTTGGGCTGGGGACTGCAGAGGTAATTTAAAGACCATACACTCCAGTGCTTGGAGCTCTAACACACCACTTTGCTCGGCTAGCTAAGGCCTTCCAGCCTTTTATTTTCCTTCCCATAGGATAATACATATTAACTTAGGCAGAGGACTTGCTGGTGTGATTGACAAGGAAAGCTAACTATTTTATGGCACTTCAGTTTGAACACAATTGAATTACTTACCCCTCCTTCCCCCTTCAAAAAATGACAAATGAACATCTGTCTAATTGAGGCTGCCAAAGGCAACCTTTTAAAGAGAAATGACAAAGCCCTCAGCCCTGGTTAAATCCATATGGTAAATGATTCTATCAGAAGGTGGGGATAGGATGCAGCATGTCTCAAACAACTAGGAAAAACACCTGTAAATTTACTAGAAGAGAGAGGGATGGTCTGTGTACAAACATCAGTTAAAGATGGGGGAAAGACACATTATCCAGCTCACCTTGTTGAACAGTCTGACCTATAAACCAGGAACGACGTTCTTCGTGAAAAGCTTTTACTTCAAACAGCTGCTGTGCACCACTATTGAATAAGTAAAGGGTTGCTTCCCCTGTTGAAAAGAAATCTGGTTTGTGTTTGTAAGCTTTCAGAAAAATCAAAAGAATACCCAATATGCTTGAAGAATGTGCCTTATATACATACAGACACACAAACATACACACAGTCTACATAAACTCACTACAAAGAGAGCTCAGACAAAACCCACTATTATATACAGATGTTCATTTACCAGCTCTATAAACGAAACTGAATTTGAATCAATAAATAAGATGTGTGAATAGTTCATCTTACAACACAAAGCCTTTGATCCAAGCCCAAATCAAAATCACTCAAGAAATCAGCATTTTTCTGCAGTGAAGGGGGAAGATGGAAAACAAGAGAATTCCCTCTCCTTCCATCATGTTTGTCTTGAGGATATCATACTCTGCATTAGGGGAACAAAAGCCTCAAACCTTTAAAGGACAATTTGAAATATTCTTTTTTTTGTGCACCAAAATGGATTGTGATGACTCTGTATGGGTAGACATATAAAGTAAACAAGGAAGCTAGAAGAAGTTGGTTTGAAGTGCCCATCACAACCTTAATAGTTAGGAAAGGAAGAGGAAAGCTTTATTTTAGGTCATCCCGTAACACAGCTCTGCCATTTCACATTAGTTTTGGGTTACAATGAAAGGAGGACAAACACATTGCAAACAGGACTGGCATTTTCCATATCTGAAATGGAAAGTTTCCACAGCTACAGAAGGGGCCACTGAAATGCAGTCAGCTGAGTCTGTTGCTTCTATCTTGGTTATCAATCCATCTTCAAGAAACAAGAGAAACTACAGCAAGACTGTCCTGCTCAGAGCACATAAATTGCAAAGCTGCAGTGACTTGCAGGTCATGGGCTGGCTCAGAGAAGCCTCAGTGTAAGCCCTGAAAGCTGACATCAGCACTGCTCTTCTCAGTCTGCAGACACCCCCAGACATCCCCAGGTGCGGAGGGAGGTCAGCAAAAATGGGAAGACACGTGAATTCCAAAAAATTACTGATAATGCATTTTTCCCCCCTTTATCCAAAAGGCTGACCAGATGTTTAACCTCACTTAAGGATATAATTTCAGTACTCCAATAATTTTTCTTTTGGGTAGGGGAGGAGAAGAGCAACAAGTATTCATAAGGGGGAGCGGAGGTTTCAATCATTACCATGTGCACCCTCAACAAGGGTCTACACCACATCAAACTACTCATAGAAGTGCTGACTGAACAACTTAAGACTCCTACCAGTGAGTGTGCTAGCCAAATCCAGTGGTGAGCTACGCAATCTTGGGAAAAAGACCTTCTTCTTAACTAAGTACAGCTCCTTAATTTATGTCATTATGCTAAAAAGACAGCCACCACAGGTTCCCTACAGTATTGTTAGACAGGAACTCCAGAGGATGGAGGGAGAACCTGGGAAACTTTGCTCACAACTTCACCAATGCTTCTTGTAGTACTTCCGAATTGCAATCTGATCCTACTTCATAGTCTTTGTAAGGGATAGAAATTTTCTCCTTTCTACCTGTCTATATAAAAGACAAAGCATACTTTTATTTAATAAAGTGGTTAGCATGAATTCTATAGTGTGCTGAGTCCTTCAGTGCCTACTTATACAGTATCAGGCATCAACAATTCACCTGTTAGACCCAAAGGTAAGGAAAATACATTAATAGTATGTTCTCAATTCTTCCTTTTTCAGACTTTGTATTTATAACAGGCTACATAACTGAAAGTCAGTGCAGGCCTATAAATAAGGTCCTGTAAATTCTAAAGGAACACACCCAGGCAATCAGTACACATCAGGATTTCCCCGGAAAACTTTCCCAAGATCCCTGATTCTACAAGGCAAACAGATCTCTTTTTACACAAAGAAAAACAAATTAACATCTGTGCTTTAAAAAACATAACAAACTACAAAGCCAATATGCTACAGCAGGCAATAATAACACAGGTGGAAAATAGATGTGGTTTTATATTCTCACTGTAAATCTGAGCAATCAAAAAACAGGTAACATGACGAGTAAATGACTTTACATTCTGTATTATCATTTTTGACAATTTTCCTCTTTCAAGAACGAGTATGGTTCCTATACTGTGACACTAAAATGCATCTGAAGACTCAGTTACACACATATATTTTAATACATATAAGTACAAGCAGTGAATTTCAGTTCAAAACCATAAAACTTTAATCTATAGAAAAGAAATGAGCTTAGGCAAAGAAAAAACCCCAAAAAATGTTTTTCAAATGGAGTATTAACCTTAATAAAGGCTTACTGCAAGTTTCTGCTGCAGTATCACATATTCCAATTATTAATTAATCATAGCATAATTACAAACCCTTGACAAAAAGAACAATCTGACAACAAGAAAGTAATCGTGGGATGGTGGTGTCATTGTATTGCCTGCATTTTCTGGTCTTTCCAATGTATTTTGAATTCAAAGTGCCTCATACTCTGTTAAGGAGAAAACAGACACCATGACCTAGGCCAGGAAAAGAAAATTAGATTTTAAAATTAAAAGATCCAAAAAATCTTGGTAAGTACAACTGAATCATTTCTTCTAACTCTATTTATTTTATAGCATAAGATGAATGCTAAGAAGCCTATATTTGGATTTAAAAAAAGAGCTTGGACTCAACACCCAATACTGTAAGCTCCCCAAAACTAATGCACTTAAAAATAGAACTTAAATTACACCCCTTTTTTGTGCAGCCAATATTCCTGATGAATAAACAGTTCAACCAATTAAAATTATAAAAGAAATCCTAAATGTTTGCACAGCATTAAACATCTGGCATAACCAGCAGTATTTTTGGCACTTAAGACTTTTACCTATCATCATTATTTCAGCTTTGCGAAATATGAATCTTTTGGTGGTGGAGAATATCAACCAGAATTTTATCAGGCTGATGTCACAGTTCCAGAACTTGCCTGTGCTTGGGTTGCGCAGTTTTGTAAACAAGGGTTCGCTGTCAGGTGTCTTAGGGGGGTCAATAGCAGCCTCTGTAGGGGGAGAGAAGAAAGTTATCAACATGTAAATTGTGAAGTATTTCACATCTGCTTCTCCAAGACATTCAGAATTAATTGGATTGACACTTTTTTGAAAACACACACACATCTGCCTAAAAATTATATGCCTCAGCCCAAATTCATCCTACCTGATCAAGACACTTAAATTATGATTCCAGACTTCCTGGCACTCTCTATCTGTCACAGGAAAGATATGCACCTGGGGATGATTTAGATTTTGAAAACCACTTCCCCCTAGAGAGCCTTCAGGCAAGAGAGCTCCTAAATTTGACATCCCAGTTAAGTAAGATGAACTGATATGCTGCCCTGATTAGTCACAAAGACAATAAGAATGCTTTGGTTAGTTAGGCCAAGCACAATGTGGACACTAAAGAAGTGCAAAAGGTAAAATACATATGGGAAGAAAACTATCCTTTAAAGTTTTCACAGAGTCAGATTATGCAGGAATCAGCCTATTCTAGTTGTTACTTCTGTGGAAAACAAGCACACTTATTTATCTGTTATGTATAAACTTGAAAAATAAAGACTGCATTTCATTCCTTCCACAAGACAAAGAAGCTGAGAGAATGCAGCACCTCTGGTTGAAGCCCCTTACAGTTATTCTTTTTCCTGCATCTTTGAACAAACAGAAAATAAAAAGCAGAGCCACAGAAGTATAATTTTTTCTGTGAAACTGAAAAAAGAAGGAAACAGCTACCACAAGGATGCTGACTCAAGTACAAAAAAACACATGTATAAGTATCCCCAGTTAATTATACTCTAGCCAAGTTCTCTTTGTAGGGAAAGTCTAACTTATATTTATGAAAACAACTTCCCACATCTCAGTAAAGAGCACCATGACAGCATCATCTTTCTTAGCCTGCACACTGCCAGTTCTGCCCCAATTCTTTTCATACAGGCATTCATCAGAGCAAGGAAAATTACTAAAACATTTCACATATAATGAGTATCCAGACCCCAGAGAGTGCACTGACAGAGATCAGGCTGATGTTTGTGTTACGGTGCTGCTGAGGAAAGCAGAGAGGAGCAGTAGAGGCAGACTGCATGATTATTCACAGGAACAGAAATGCCACATTGTCCTTCCCCTTTCAGTAACATCCGGCAGGTTTGGGAAGACGGAGCTGGCACAATTGTTTGGCAAACAGGGAAGTAGAAACAACCAAAAGTACCTGTCCTCCCCCCTGACTGAAAGCCCCAACATATCTGAAAAGGACAAGTGGACTTCTCACACTTGGCTGTTCACAAACACCTCATGGGCAAAAAAAAAATAATAGGTCCAAATAGCTCTCAATCTTCATATCTACTCCTTGTTATTCAGTCGTGTCATCAACAAAAGGCGCCCAGATAAAGACACACGCAGGACACAAAAACCAACTGTGTTTAGTGATAAATGTGTTGGAGGGTAATAATCCTCAGAGATGTTTGGAGAATTTAAACTAATTTTCTTCCCTCCAATACTCAACTGAGTCTTCAGGTGGCTTGAAAAAGGGCTTCAAAAAGTTTCAATATAAGTTGAGAGCTTTTAAAGGAAAAAGTCCGTATTTGCTAGCCAGACTTCCTTTATATGCTGATACATAAACACATGGTTGTCAAGCTACATTTGCCCTGGCAAAGGCGACTTTCCAATTTCTAGAGCTGTGTATATTTCAATTCTTGACCACAGTTTAACATTAGTGTATTTTTTGTTACTTTTTAAAACACTGAAGTGATTAATGATAGTGAAAGAAACACACTGCATGTGTTTACTTTGATGTGTTTCACATGAACATGTTAAAATATACACAGTAAATGTGAGTTTCAAAATTTAAAACAAAAAGCAAAACAAAAAAAACCCCAAAGGAACTTTCAGCGCTCACTTGCTCTGCTTTCTTCATGCACAGATTGATGAACACTGGGAATGAGTCCAGCTGAGCCTGAAGTTGCATCTTGTCAGCGATTAAGTCAACAATCCTTCCTAATTTTTTGCTGTTTTTAATGACATTTGCATCTTTACTGGGTTGAGATGTTCTCTTCCTAACCTGCTAGTAACACACTGAATTTATCCATCTCCACTAAGCCTAAGGAGCATAACAAACCCATGGGACACAGTGTCCTTTGTCTTCCTCATCAATCCTTTACCTTCCCAACCCAGATAACCACCCTCCTTCATCTGGGCCTGCCCCATGTTATCCCAGGCTCAGCATCCCCTACTCTGCCCCTCTGCCCCTGCCAGGAGCTCCTCCCCATGCAAAGAGCAGCACAGCTCTGCCCACGGAGTTCTTTGGTGCTGCTCAGGCTCCAAGGGGCTCACCACTGCACAGAGGGCAGCAGGGACCAAACCCTAACACACTGTCCGAGTTGCAGGCTGCTGTCCCAGTATCTCATGGCAATGGGATCAGATTCAATATGTCACACTCTCCACACGGCTGCCACGGAAAATAGTTTGCCTGAAGGGACATGCAGACACAAAGGAAGAAGGGAAGGACTGGGAAAAGGCAAAAGCAGTTTCTTTGAGCTTCTTTAACGTTCAGTTTCCTCAAAATGTAGGCAATGTTCCACTCCATTTCCAAGGGCATCTGAAGTATATTTTTGTTATAGATTGGCTTTACTATATGTCAAGTTGGCAGACAAAAAAAAGAGGCAATTGGGAGAATGCCTGCTTGGAAAACTGGATGCAGTATTAATATGGCCTTAAGGGCAAAGAAGGCCCTATTTATCTGAATTTAAATACTTCATGACTAGGAAAATGCTGAGCAAGGGATTTTTGATGTTAGGTGTCCAAACCTAACTTATTTGTGTTCTGGACTTTAGCCAGAAAAGGTAACTGGATTTCTTTAATGCCATTACATTTATCAGTCCTTGTATTTCAGCAAGGATCTCTTACAGCTAAGTAAACACAGACTTCTTAGAGAGCAGTACTATAGCCATTTTCTAGCAAAACTGAGAGCTAAGGTAGGTTGGAATTTTTATTTTATTTTCAACTTTAAGGTTCACCTCCAGATAAGAAATCACCTCCCGGGAAAGAAACAGAAAAAAAAACCCAAAAAACATTACAGGAAGAGCTGTTTTGTTAAATTCTAAAGGAAAACATCAGATGATCGCCACCATGCTTAATATAACAGTTCCTATAACTCAGCCCTGAGAAACTTGTTCCTCTACAAGAATACTTTGGGGACAGAGGTAAGACCTTTCTGCCCAGTACACTCTCTACCAACAGTGACTCACAGTCAGGTCAGCTTATTAACACGTGTCATTACAGTGATTTTCTCCTAGGACAACATACACTACAATGATATAAAAAACTGATAGAAGGGTACAATCAATCCTGTCTCAAGGAGGCATCTCAGCCAGCATGTCACTCTTTAAACTGCATGGGAAGACAGAAGGCAGACACTTCCAGGAGGCAGCTGAAGAAAAGGAGAAAAGATTATTGTTTTTCATGGAGGTCAGACACATAACCAGGCAAATTCTATAAAATACATCCACACAATGAAGTGAAAATGAACCAGCTTTCAAAGGATTTCTGGCAATAATTTCTTCCACAATGGATAGATATGAGGCACTAATGAATCTAGTCATTAAAACAAAAAAGCCTTACCTGGTACAGCAACATAAATAAATTGAAAAACAACGTAAAACTCTCACTAAGAGCTATGAAACTGTTATGGATGATGCAAAGTCTATTCACCTTCTTTTTTAAAAAAATGCTTATAGAATACTATATATGACAGACTAATACCAAGTTACATGGAATTCCTATGCAAAAAGCTGCCAGCCAAGCAAGCAAAAGGGCTGTAAATATCTGTCAAATGTGTAAGAGGAAAAAACCCTCTGAGAGCACGAATTTCCCAACCACTACCACCCTGCAAAGAAAAAGGACTATTTAAGTCTGGAAATATAAAGTTAAGATTTCATTTAAAAACAGATATTAAACCATACGTCACCTACACAAGTCTTTTCCATTCCCTTCTTAACTTCTAAGTGTGCATGAAAGGTGTGTCAGATGGAGACATTATGATGGAGCCCATTAAATAGACATTTTATGGAAGACTTTAAACTATGTAGCCTAAGGGTACAGATAGGTTAGATCTAATAAACATTTTATTTGTGTTCTTTTAGGAATCTCAACCCTCAAGAAAATGGCTTTAATTCAGTGTCCATGTCCTTTGTTGCACAGCATGCCCTAAAAAAAGCCCAGTGAAAAATAATTGATAAATCCAATACTTTGTATCACCCAAATTTTTGGTAATTTTTCTAAGTTACAAGGTAATTAACTGCAAGCTTAATAAATGAATTCAGGTATGTACAGACTGAGGATACAGTTTCATAAATGGCTTCAAATGACCAAACATCACAGGTCATAGAAAAGCGCACAGAAAAGTTCTGGGGTCCCCAGCTTGGTTCCCTTCTTATTTTGCATCTCTGCTGGTTTTTTCCACCAAAACTAGCAATTTCATGGCCCCACAGGAAGTCAGCTCACTTCACTCATCCAGCTGAGAAGTAACTGGCCACAATGAAGAAGTAAACAACTTTCAATCCTATCAGTAAGCTCACTGGATTGCTTCCTTGGCTCACAGTACTCAGGGGAGCACTGAACAGAACACAGCTCGATTCACCTCTGCAAACAGCCAGTATTTTGCAGGTGCTTACAGAGAGGGTATGGGTTTGTACTTGCTCACACCTTATTTTTGGAAATAATCTTAGCTGTTATTCAGTTATATAAACTTGATGTTACCTCACCACCTTACTCCTTCTTTGACTGTACATAGTACTCGCTTCAGTACGGGGACTTTTGCCATAACTATTGTGAAAGAGAATGATTATCAGTTTGGTAATCATGACATTTATTATTTGGTGCCCCAAGGAAACACTGTTCAGTGTGACATAATTTAGAACATTCTGCAATAAAACACAGTATCTAAAATGGCACCGTTTTCTATCTTGACCACAATTTCAAAAAGAAATGCGACTTGACAGTTTGAATGGTCTTTTGC